CGTTCCACAGATGCTGCCAATCTCTCTCACTTTCTCTCTCACTCTCTCTCTTTGGGTTATCCAGTATCCTGCACTGTTTTTGTTTTGGACAGAAAGCTGTGACACCACGTGAAGTTGTATAACCCAGCCTTAGAATTGTCAGTCCTGCACTGAGACAGAGTGGCGCACTTTCAGAAGCAAGTTGGGATAATAACAGAGAGTTGAGGATAAAAGCGTTCCACCCATACTCAGGGGCGCTCAATCCTGTTGAGAGGTCGGCAGACAGGACAAATGAAAGAATGAGAGGAAATGAGTCAGATGCACAAGGCACGCAGGGTGAGTGAAAGGAAGAGAGACCAGTGACCTATAGAATTTAATCCTCATAAATGTGATTTGAAAGAAGTAGTAACAAGACAAGGGCGTACTCGATAAATACAAAGACAGTAATACCTCAAGGGAACAGAGGGATCTTGGTGCGTTTGTGCACATATCCTTGAAAGTGACAGGTTAATAGGCTCGTTAAGAAGGCAGAGGGACACTTGCATTTTTGAATTAAGTTATGGTGGATATGAGCAGGATTGGTTATGTTGCAGCTGCACAGAATTTTGGTTAAACTGGAGTACTGCCTGCAGTTCTGGTCACCGCATGAAAGGAAGGATAGTTAACCATGGAGAGAATGCAAAGGACACTCACCAGAATGTTGCCTGAGATGGAGTATTCAGATGTGAGCAGAGGCGATAAACTTGTGTTGCTTTCTTTGGAGCAAGAAGATTGAGAGGGGACCCGGTGGAAGTGTACAAGATTATATGGGGCGTGGACGGACTGACAAGAAAGCAGCTGTTCCCCTTTGTCAAAGGGTCAGTAAGAAGGGGGAATAATTTTAAAGTAAAAGCAGGAGGTTCAGAGGGGATTTGAGGAAAACCCTCTTCACCCAGAGGATGGGTTGTGTCGGGAAAGCACTGCCTGAAGTTTAGTGGAAGGGTAAAGCCTCAACCTTCAAAAAGGACTTGATGAGCACTTGAAGTGACATAACCTTGTGTGATTGAGGGCTTCGCAGACAGAAATCCACGGTATGAAAGTAGGCCATTTGACCGAATTTGTTCATGCCGCCCAGTTTTCACAATTTAATCTGGTCCCATTCGCCTGCATTTGGCCCATATTCCCTCCAAACCTATTCTATCTATGTACCTGCCTAAATGTTTCCTGAATGACAAAATTGTATTCACTTGCACCATTACCTCTGGCAGCCCGTTCCAGACGCTCACCACCATCTGTGTGAAAAAACTGCCCCTCTGGACCCTTTTTTTTCAATCTCTCCTCGTAAACAGATCGTCTTTGGTTTAAACTCCCCTACCAGAGGGAAAAGCTGTTGGCTGTCAACCTTATCTATGCCTCTCATGATTCCATGTTCCTCGATCAGGTCACGCCTCAATTTCCTAAGCTCCAGGAGGAAAAAGTCCCAACCTGTCCAATCTTGCTTTATAACTCAGACCTTCGAGTCCAGGCAGCATCCTAGTAAACCTTTTCTGTACTCTTTCTAGTTTCAGAGTATCCCTTCTATAGTTGTGTGACCAGAACAGCACGCAGTATTCCAAAAGTGGCCTCACCAATGTTCTTTACAGCTGCAAAAAGACATCACAACTCGTATAATCAATGTTCTGACTGATGCAAGTAAGAAGGCCAAAAGCCTTTTTCAACACCCTGTTTACCTGTAACTCCACTTTCAAGGAGCTATGAACCCGTACCCCTAGATGTCTTTGTTCCACAACTTCTTCCCAGGGCCGTACCATTGACTGTGTCAGTCCTGCCCTCCTCCAACCCAACAAAATGCAACACCTTACATTTATCCAACTGAAACTCCATCTGCTATTCCTGAGACTACTGTCCCAGCTGATGAAGGTCTTGCTCCATTCCCAGACAACATTCTTCACTGTCCACTGTACCACCCATCTTGATGTCATCCACAAACTTTCTCACCATTCCTCCGAAATTCTCATCCAAATCATTTATAAAAATCATGAATAACAGTGGACCCAGCGCTAATCTCTGTGGCACACCACTGATTACAGGAAAATCCACACTGCACCACCACCCTTCCAATGTAAAGCCAATTTTGTATCCAATTGGCTCGTTCATTTGCATTTGATCTCCCAAAATGCATCACCTCACACTTGTCCGGATGAAACTCCATCTGAAATTTCTCCACCCGACTTTCCAGCTGACCTGTATTCAGCTGCATCCTTTAGTATACTTCCACATTATCCAAATTTTCGTGTCATCTGCAAAATTTACAAATCAGACCACTGACATGTTCATCCAAATAATTTATGTGCATTATAAACGATAGAGGTGCCAGCATTGACCCTGAAGATGAACATGAACATGAACAAAGGAACAAAAATGGTGTCTCCAGTTTTATGGGCCCACACCTTGTAGGTAAAGTTCACATGAAGATCTCTGTCAAGGCCTCTGCAATCCCTAGCCCTTGCCCTTGCTTCCCTTAGAGTCCTGGAATAGATCTCATCAGGCCCTGAGGACTTACCGAAATTAATATTTTTTCAGACAATCAACATCACCTCCTTCTTAACACAGGCGTGCCCCACAATATCAACAACCCACTCTAAACTTACCTTCATGCATAACTTTCTCCTTTGGTGAATACCGATGCAAAGTACTCATTAACAACCTTACCCACTTCCTCCACACAAATTACCTCCTTTGTTCTTAAGCAGTCCTATTCTTTCCCCAAGTTACACTCTTGCTCCTAATATACACACAATACAGCTTGGACTGTCCTTAATCCTACTTCTCAAGGGCATTTCATTGCCCCTTCCACCCCTTCTAATTTCTTTTTGAAGTTTTTTTCTATTTCCTGCATACTGCAAGGTCCTAGTCTGATGGCTTTTTCTGAAACATTGCATTACATCCTTTTTAACTAAACTTACAACATTGCTCATCATCCGAGGTTCCAGAATTTTGTCATTCTTATCTTTCATCCTCACAGGAACATAGACAACAAGGTGCAGACCCTTCGGGTCTAGGCCCGAAACGTCAGCCTTTCTGCTCCTATGATGCTGCTTGGCCTGCTGTGTTCATCCAGCTCTGCACCTTGTTGTCTCGGATTCTCCAGCATCTGCAGTTCCTACTATCTCTCACAGGAACATGCCTGTTTTGAAGTCTGATCAACCAGGTTTCAAAAAACTCGCACTTGTCAGATGTGGATTTACCCTGAAAGAGTGATCCCAAATCTAAGTTCTCCAGTTAGAGTCATAGAGATATACAGCACCAAAATAGGCCCTTTGGCCCAAATCATCCATTCTGACCAGGTTTCTTGAACTGAACGAGACCCATGTGCTTTTGTTTAGCCTATATCCCTCTTAAGCTACTCAATCCATGTACCATTCCACATGTTAATTGCACCCACCACTACCACGTCTTCTGGCAGCTCATTCCATGTACACAACATTCCTCTGTGAAAAACTACCCTCCTGATTCCTCTTTAATCTTTTTGCTCTCACCTTAAACCTATGCCCTCTAGTTTTAACCTCCCCTAGCCTAAGGACAAGGCCTTGGCTATTTACCTTATTTATGATTTTATAAATCTCTGAAAGGTCACTGCTAAGCTTCAGGGAAAGAAGTTTCACCTTACCCAACCTCTCCCTATGACTCAAAGCCTTCAGGCTCTATAATGTCCTTGTCAATCTTTTTTGCTCTGTTTCCAGGTTAATAACATTCTTCCTACAGCAGGGTGACCAGAATTCTATGCAGCACTGCAATTCTGGCCTCACCAATGTCTTGTACAGATGTAACATGATATCCCAACTCCTGTACTCAAGGCTCTAACTGATGAAGGCAAGTGTGCCAATGCCACTTTCACCACCCTGTCTCCCTTGATGCCACTTTCAATGAACTAAATCCCTGCACCCCGAAGTCTGTCTGTTCAATAACATTCCCCAGGGCCCTACCATTACCTTCTTTTTTTCAGGCTTCTGAGGAAATTTGACATGTCCAGAAGGACTCTAACCAAGTAATACAG